TCTGCTAGAGTTACTGCTTTATGTAACTGTGATGTTTCTTGTTTCTTGTAGAAAAACTCTCGCAGTGACTGTATTTGTTTGTAGTGAAGGTTAACTATGTCAATCAGGCCACGTCCGCCTTCTTTACGTGGAAGGGTTAATCTTTCTGTGGCGGATTTAGGATGATGTTGTTTATGCTTAGTAAGTGTTGTTCTTGTTTTCCTTTGGAGTTGCTCGAGATCTGTGTGAGTCCAATGTATAACTCCAAAAGAGTATGTGAGTACTGGGATGACATATGTGTTTATTGCTTTAACTGTGTGTTTTGCATTTAACTGTGTTCTAAGTATAGCGTTTAACCTACTTTGGTATTCTTTAATTAATCGTTGCTTTATTTGTGTATGTTCTGTTAGTTTGGCCTGTTGGAATCCTAAGTACTTGTAGAACTCGCCCTCTTCCATGGATTCAATAACGTCTCCATTTCCAAGTGCAAAATCTTCTTTCTTCAGGATTCCTTTTTCTATGTGAAGTTTTTTGCATTTGTCTAGGCCAAACTCCATTTGTATGTCCTTAGTGTATGAATGTGTGATTTGTAGGAGTTGATGAAGTTGTTTTTGTGTGGATGCATAAAGTTTTATGTCGTCCATGTACATGAGATGTGAGAGTGTAAACTGTGTTGTTTTTTCGTGTCTGATATTGTAGCCGTATTGCGTGTTGTTTAACATGTTGGATAATGGATTCAGGGCTAGGCAGAACCAGAGAGGACTCAAGGAATCTCCTTGAAAAATTCCTCGCCTAATGAATATTTCGTTTGTTTGTATGGAAGTGTTACTAACCCTGAGATGTAGTGTTGTTCTCCAGTGCTGCATAGTGTTTTCGAAGAATGCAATGAGTGATGGATGTATTTTGTACATGTGTAGAATATGTAGCAGCCAACTGTGTGGAACACTGTCGAATGCTTTTCTGTAGTCTATATATGCCATGTGTATGTTTCTGTGTTGTTTGTGTGCTTGCCGTAGAATGACTGAATCTATGAGTAACTGTTCTTTGCATCCCCTGTGATTTCTACGGCAACCTTTTTGTTGTTCTGTAAGAATGTCGTGTTCTTCAACATGTTTGTATATTTTGTTTGTGATACAGGATGTCAATAATTTGTAGAGTGTTGGAAGACATGTAATTGGTCTGTATTGTGTGGGGTCTGTGGTTTTGTTGTTTTTAGGTTTCATGTAGGTAATGCCCCGAGTAAGAAATTTTGGCATGTCTTGTGGATTGATGATGATGTGTGTTAGATGTTTAGCTAGTTCCTGGTGCAGTGATGTAAACTTTTTGTACCAGAAATTGTGAATGTTGTCTACACCAGGTGTCTTCCAGTTGTGTGTTCTGTTAACAGCGTAGCGAATGTCGTGTATGTTTATTTCAGCACAGGGCATACTTGGTATGTTATGCAAGTTTCTGTTCTCCTCCTTGATCCAGCCTGCATCAGCATTGTGTGTAACAGCATTGGACCAAAGAGATGACCAATAAGTTGTGAGTTCTTCTTCTGTTGGTGTGCCACTGTGCTGTGTATCAGTGTTTGTTTTGGTACTGATTTGTCTGTAGAAAAGTTTTTCATTGTTTGTGAATAATTTATTTTGTTGTTTTCATAGTGTACATGTTTTGTATCGTTTGAGTCTATGTGCTTTGGCTGCGAGTTTTTGTTTTAGTGTAACGATGTATTCTGTAATGTATGTGTTGTGATGTTCATGTTTTGTGTGTGTTTTGATTTTCTTGAAAATGTTTTTGAGTTGTTTGTTTAATTTAGGTGTTATGTTGTTTTTAGTGTATTGTGTCAGCCTGCCTAATTGCTGTCTAATGTCATTTATTTGTGTTTCTATTCTTCTCTGCCAGGCAGGCTTGTGATAGAATTGTGTTTTGTGTGTGTTTGTCTGTGATTGTATTTTCAGTCCATGCTGTGTTACTACTCTGACTGCCCCAGCATAAACTAATGTATGAATATCTGAGAGTGTAGAAATTGAATGAATGTAGTTTGGTAGTAAGTGAGCGTTTACATAATTTAGTGTTTTTCCTACTACCTTTGACGTGCTGATTTTTGGTATTCGTGGTCTTTGTGTGGGATCTGTGCCTGTATATTTAGTGAGTGTTTCCTGAAATATAAGTGAGAGTGTATTAACTAAATCTATATCTACATTATCAGTGATGGATGAGGAAGTGTCTGTAGTATCATTAATGGTAGTTGTTGTATGTGTACTATTATCAATGCTTGTTGCTGTATTATCCTGACAGGTTACGTGATCTTCATTAATGTTAAATGTTTCTGTCTGTTGATGTATTTGATCAGCAACCT